TGGAGTGTAGTGGAGTGGAAAAAGGAGTGGGAGGAGCGGAGAACAGGGACTGGAAATCGCACACTCACAACCACTCTCGCACACCCATAAATGCTGCACACCAAGTGCAAGCGAGAGGCAAGAGGTTCATAAACAATCCCTACAAAAAAATTGATATGCACAGGAAGAAATATTTAGTCATTTGCACAGTAATCACAAATAATGTTATCTAAAGTAAGCTTAAGGTGTAGGTGTATACATGTTTTTAAATCTAGAGATTTGTGGCACTTTATTAGCAATTTTAAGCATATAATATGTTTTTGTACAAAATAAGATTAAAAAGATTTGAATAATAAAAAGAATTTTAAAAATGTTCCAAAATTAAGTTAACTGAGAACTTTTTTTAATTTATAACCTTAAGACTTTTAAGACAGCTTTAAAAATAGAGACATAGAGATTTTGCAATCTTAACTGAGCCTAAAATTTGTTTTATGTGTATATGAAAAGAGTACGACCAATTATTGGCCGAAGGGAAATGAGAAAAAGTCATCGACTGAAAGGATTTCAAATGCACACACACATGGACTCAGTTATGGTATCAGAGGAGAGGGAGAGTTATTTTTCCGACTACTGATTTAAATTATGTCCAGTGTCCAGGAACAACAACAACAACGATAACAAGTGGCAATTGAAGCTCTGTTTGCTTAATGAAACAACAATCACACACAGACACACACCAATCACCATACCAACGATGCTGTATGATACACCGACAAAAACACCTTGGTCAAATAAAGATACTCTGCCGCGCTCTAAACTAACTTGGCCATTTGAAGGCCTCTCGGCTTGTAGGGGAAACGGGACGACCAGAGTCAAACTTCCGTTAACCAATTCTTTAACATTGGATTTTAGATTCACACAGACAAAAATTGTCTATACATGGATCTGTATTTCCACTATTTCGTTGCGATTTCTTCATCAAATACAATATCTGTAAGATATAAATGTATCTTTAATTTAATTTATAGTTAAAAGGTAACAAACTCTTCTATACGCTTTTTCTTAAATATAATTTTAAATTATATTATTTTATATTGTATTTTATAACTCCAAAACTACTAAAAATTGTTGATAATTTTTATTTTTTTCGTTTTTTTTTTTTCCTGTGTAGGTCAGCCTTTGATTGTGACACCTGACATAGAGGATGCTGGGCTATTCGAACTTCTGTAGACTGGCGCAACCCATTAATCCTGACTGCTACTCCTACTAATGATAACGATCACCAATTGAGTGGCAGAAGAAGGTGGGAGAAGAAGGAAGAGAAGTAGGAGAAGGAGTAGAAGCAGAAGGAGGAGAGCCAGACAACAAGCGGATAACAACGCCTGTCTCCAAGTGGGCTCAAGTGGCGAAGGAGGTCGAGTACCAAGAGAAGCTGAAGGAGGAGGAGGAGGAGGAGGAGAAACAGGAGAAGTGGCAGAGAAACTGCCAGCGAGACACGCAGGCTGGCTGGCCAAAAGACGGACGACGACCGGCAGCAGCCAGCAGAAGCAGCAGAAGTAGCAAAAGCAGCAGCAGGAAAGCCAAAAGCAGAAGCTACTCAAGAGTCTCAGAATTCCGATACCGATGAGGCCATCGTGTGTCTATATGCATGCTGAAGAGCCAGGCAACGCGCAGTCGCACAGCCACCATTCCACTCCATTACCAGTTCGCAGATCGCCGCTTCCAGCACCCAGCACCCAACATTTAGCATCCAGCATCCAGCTCCCAGGAGCTGGCAATCAAATGGCCAACGTTGGACAATGACTTTCACGCCTTTCGAGCGCGCCAAAATGGACAAGTCAAGTACATGCAGCCCAAGTGGTACCCCAAATACCCTACCTACCTACCTATATTTAAAAGTTACATACATTTTTTTATATTTTGCGACTCGATATTCACCGATAAACATTTTTGAAGTTTTCATAAATCATCCTCTATTAAGTTTTCATTGTTACCTGAGTTTTTGGCAGATTGGAAATGCTAATTAAATTAAACTGCGACATTTATGATAGTTTTTTTTTTTTGGTTATAAGAAATTTGTACTCAAACTTAAATAAAATCATTGTCAATAGATAGTAGATTATTTTTCGAGCATTTAAGCATTTTACTATAAACCTTTAAGACCTCTAAATCTCCGAATTTAGATAGCTACAATTCCAGAACGAAGAATATGAGAACTTTCTTTTTAATATTTAATTTATATATGTTGATTCTAATTAATCACCACACTCTTTTTTTTTTTTTGTGTACACTTTTCACCCAGACGCCTCTCGTTTTCAATTTCAATTTCAATTTCCGTTACGATCAGCACTTAAGCCTTCAATCTGAACTTCAACTCCCGATCGATTGAGGTTGACAGCGCAAGGGGAGGGATATTAATTGAAATTGAACGGCCAATCGCCCCATTGATATGGCAAAAAACTGCAAGTGTTTTCGCTCTGGTTTAGTTGGTTCTTATCGCTAAAATACGCTTGTGCGCGATTAACTCTCAATGTCTGGCAATATTCACAACAAACACAAAAAGTTAAGATCACAGGTTAGTTTTCAATTTCAAATTTGCACACTTTACGTACTCGTTAACTGTCGCCGAGCCCAAAAAAAGCAGTCGGATTGCCAGTTGACTTGGTTGACAAAACAAAAATATGAAAACAAAAACAAATATAGCCTGATTGGGGCTTCGAAAAAAATATACACTTTTATTTGTCGAATTGTTTGAGCCTTTGCACGAATTTCGTCCCGTCAAAAGCTTTTTTATAGAGCCGAATACGAAATTGATTGTCTTATTGGAATTATATCAATATTTGATGTACCCGAAATCAAATAACAATGTCTTTTTATTTCTTCCCGGTAATGTTTACTTGTGATGTTTTTGAACGAAGCGAAACATCTATACAAAGTCGCGCAGAGTTTCGGAGTGCGACCGTCGCGTTGCAGCTCCTGAGCTGATCTGAGCAATCCAACAAAAACCGGGGAACGTTTCGATCGGATCGCAGAGATGCCAACTCTTCAGAGTCATTACCGCTTATAAATAGCTAGAAAAATAAAAGAAATCCTTAAATAAAGTTACTTCATAAATGAGTGACATGCGTTTGTGTACGGTTTTTTCTTACCTTAAGTGTACTTGCTTAGAATATAGTTAGTAATGTAATACATTTTGTTTACATTAACGGATGTCTTCACATTTGGGAATATAAAATAATTGTAACAGAATTTAAATTAAATAAATATTAGAGAATGGTTTGCCATATTGAAAATTTTTTTTCCGAACATATAATAAAAATTTTTTCTTAAGATCTCGAGGCGTGAAAAGAGCTTTTAGGCGTAAGCGCTTTAAAAAAAATTATTAATTTAAAATAAAACGTGGCGTAAAAATATCCAAATTGGCAACACTACTCTCGCTGCCTCAGTTTTTCGAATCGTCAAACAATCTCAAGCTTCTTCGGATTTCTCTTAAGCCTTTTCCTACAACAGTTTCTCTCTCTTAAAAACATTTTATTCAATCATTAAGGGAAAAAGAGAAGAACAAAAACAAATTTTTGAATTCTATAAAAATGTTTTCTTTTCGAAAGTTAAAAAATTAATTGTTAAGCTTTCAAAATAAATAAAATTGCTTTAATAACTTTTTGCCGTTTTTCGAAATTTATTCTTATAAATTGGCCAAAATTGGACGCATAGCCAGCAAAAACTGGATAAATTGGTATTTTAAATTATATTACATAAAGATTCTTTTACGAGATCAACGGGGTTTGAATTCCATATTTAAGCCCTTATTTTTATTTTTATGGCTAAAATACTGATTGTTTTTGCCTAAAATTTAATAGTTAAATTTTTTAACGAAATATTTGAACGTTTTTAATCTAAAAAAAAATCTAAAAAACAATGTTTTTAAGAGTTTTTCTGTAACTTGGCCAAACTAGGCGCAACTAGACGAAATTTTATGACGAATTCAACGATGACCATTACATCCCAGGGTTTTGACAAAAAAAAAAACAATTTATTTAAAGTTTTTTCTGGGTTTCTTGACACTTAAGAAAAGCAAATTTCTTCGCAGTTTCTTTTGTTGTAACCTGGTCAAAAGGCTGGCTGTTTTGGCGGCAGCTGGCAACCTACACTTTCCATCACTGGTCGATTTTAAAAATTGACCCTATGACAAATTTTTGAATTTTTTATAATTAAATTTTTTTATAATTTAATTTTTTCGAAAACTTTTAAAGTTAAAAAATTTGTAACTGTGAATGCCATTTCATCGAAAATTCTATGACGAATTCAACGATGTATGACATTCCAACTTATGACCATTACTTCCAAGGGTTTTGATAAGAAATCAAATTTTTTAGTCGAGTTTTTGGCTTTCTTGACACTTAAAATAAAATATTTCTTCAGAGTTTTTGTTGTTGTTACTTGGTCAAAATTAGACGCATGTATATTCATAAGAGTGAGTGTGTTGTATAGCTTGGACCTACACAAGCATCCATAATCCACAATTTTAAAAACTGAAAATTTTTAAATTTGTGAATGTCATTCGATAGACAATTTAATGACGAATTCACCGAATTATGACACTTCTTCGGTTTACCATTACTTCTCAGCGTTTTTTAGAAAACCTTGTTTTTTGTTTTTTTTTTTTTTTGGTTTTTTGGATACTTGTAAATAAACAAAATCCTAAGAGACAATTTTTTCTGTAGCTCGGCCAAATATAGACGTACAGCCATAAGAATGACTGTTTAGTATAGCTGGTGACTTATGCTTGAAACTTGAATAACTGCTAAAGGAATGACTTTTTGGTGCAGCAACTGACCTAAGCAATCCTTATCATTCTTTATTGGTGAAGAATTCGTGACGAAAGCTGCGTCAGAGTCAACGATTTGTTTGACTATGGGTACTTTGGTGACATTGTGCAAAACAATACAATGTGGACGCGGTTCGGGTTATGAAAGTTTTGGTCCCCACTTTTCCTCCTCCCAATAAAAAGTCAGTTTGCGTAATGACATATCAACTAATCAGTTAAGTTTAACATACATACATACATATACAGTATAATTAATTTAAAAATAGGAGAAAAAAAAGGAGTAAATTGTTATCCTTAGGTTCGTTAGCTTAGTAAACATAATTTATGCGCCATCGGCGCCGGAAGCAGCAGCAAAATGAAGACCGAATTCACTCAACACAAATTATTATTTATTTTCAATAAAAATGGCTATGGTGATCGGGAATTATATTCTTCAAATAAGCAGCCTTTGTTTCTTTATCCCATTTCTAAATAAGAATACAGTATTTTCAGACGAGACAGAGTTTTGCTTAGTAAAAACCACTTGAGGTCGATTTAATTTCGATATCATTTCATTTATAACTCAGCTCTAAAGTTCTTCTCTTGTTTAATATTTATTTTTACACACATTATCAATAAATTTATTCCTTGCAGAATCGAAAGGAGAAGTCAAAAGCGTTATTTAGAACTATTATTACATGCCCATAAATATTTTTAATGTTAGTCGTACATTTAAAAGCAAATTGATTTTAGGTAATCTTCCATGTTGTTTTTATTTTGTTTTTTTTTTTTGTTTTTGTTTTTGTAACTTTAAAAGTTGCTTCGATTAATTGAGTCGCGAAATGAATTTTTGATTGATTGATTTGATCGACACCTGCTCTGCATTTTGCACTCTTGAATCGAAATTCGATTCTGAGTCTTATTTTCAGTAACTTCTAACACACAGGGGTAGTAGGTATATTAGGTATACTGGTATAATATTGGTTGTTTTGAGAGAATTGCATATAACGCTTTGTGCTTGGTGGCTTGGTATTCCGCTCGTGGATTGCATCGATTCATAGTCCGAGATAACGCTAGATATATCATCGAATATAGTTTTTTCGGTTGGCCTCTACGTACACACGTAGCTTGATTCCAAAAATTCGTTGTGTTCTTGTGTAAAAAGAGATCTCAAAACAAAAGCGAAAATTGCTGATTTCTTGATTGGTTTGTCTCTCTGGTGGTTCGTAAGTTTGGTGTTCTAGTGCTGGCAAAAATTCCGGGGAAAATTCGGGGAGACTTGTAAATAGGGACTCGATTATTGGTGGGGAGTTAGCTGAGGATGGGCCACATGGCCCAACCGTCATAGAGCTTAATAGTTAAACTACAGATCGGCTCGTTATTTGTACGCGGCTACGTGTATCCGTATCTGAATTGCTATATCTTAGGTATATGTATTTCTGTTCCGGCTGCATCGGCTGGTAACTATATCTAGATATCTTGTATAATTGTATATAGACAGAGAATAGCGAACATTGATGCTCAGACCCATTTGAATAGTATTTTTTTCGGCTGTTCCTGTTGATGCATCTCCAAGACGTGCCAACCATTTGCACTATTTAATTAATATTGTATATATATTTCTTGTAATATATAATATTGGTGTTTTGCTGTTGCTGCTTGTAGACTAATTGTTGACGGGGCGACGGCCTCGCGGCTTAATCTTCTCGGATATCTGCCACATCTCCTCCTCGCCCATAAAGTCCTTGAAGTTTTCAAAGAAGCGTATGATGCGCTCGTTGCGTCGAAATGGATATGCGCTGTATGCGAACAAAAACAAAAACCAAAATCAGTCTCACAAATGGGGTATCCTTTTGACTAGATAAATTACCATTTCTTAAAACGTTTCATGTTGACAATTATGTTGTACTGCTGCCAGCGCTTGGAGAAGTTAATGACGCCCTTGGACAGGTAGTCCTGGTTGCCGACATGCACGAACGTCAGATCCTGCAGAACCAGGCCGCTAAAGGGTACAATACGTTAGCTTTTGAATCGTGTTTGCAAATGAGGAGAGATGAGGAGAGGAGAGGAGAGCATCCTTACATGTAGGGTATACAGGGCGGATTAGTTTCGGCCAGGGCCTGGCGATAGGCGCGAAAACTGGAGCTGGAATCGATGAGTGTGCAGAAGGAGCGCACCTCCTCGGTGATGCCCTTTTGCCACTCCAATCTGCAGGACAAAACGATGATTAATCGACCGCCTCACGGATCTCACAGGCACAACACCACCCAAAACACTACACACAACATCAACACCCACCTTCTTATGGGGCCCGAATCGAGGGCCGAGAGGAGCGCCAGATACGAGTTGTAGTTGTTCATCTTGCGCAGGTGCTTCATGATCTTGATGAACTTGTTCACATGCTTCTCCCGCTCCTTGGCATCCTGCAGACGCAGGATTTTGGAGCGCGCCCAGTAGGACATCTTGTTGAAGTGCTCGGTAAACTTGTTGAGGTTGGGCGACTTCTCCTCGCACTGATCTTTGGCAAATAGTAATACTTCGGGTATCTCGATCTTTTGGAACAGTTCCGCATCTAGCAGCGTCATCTGTTCCGCAATCTCCAGCGACTTGAGGTCCAGCAGACTGGGCTGGTTGCCCCCACCGCCGCCTCCAGCGGATGCACTGCTCCCACCACATCCGCCGATTCCCGCACCGGCGCCACCACCGCACTCCAGCTCCCCGATGAAGCCATACACCTTGGGCTCCTTGTACAGCGTCACCTTCTCCACGAACTTGTTGCGCAGCAACTTGGCCAAGTAGAGTTGGCCAGAGCAGACCAACTGATAGACAAACTCCACCAGCAGGCTCAGCAGTCGACTAGTGAGATCCGTCGACCTGGACGGAAATAACAGGGATTAGTAGGTATGCAATGGTCGATTGTCATTTTTCATGAATTTTCCCAGTTGTAACTCAAAAAAAATTGACTGTTTTTCTTTAATTTTTTTTTAAACAAAAACCTTTTAATTGTTTTGAGCGATATTTTTTAAAAGTACATAGATTTTTTACATTTTGAAAAATTTTTTTTATAAAAAAAATATTGAATAATTATGTTTATAAATATATATTAATTGAAAAAAAAAATGTCAATAGATTTTCTAAAATATCATCATAATCTAGTCTTTAATCGAAGGATTTATTTATTTATTTATTTATTTATTTATTTATTTATTTATATTTATACAAAAAAAAAAAAAAAAAAAAAAAAAAAAATTAACGATTAATGACTACAATTTTATGTTAGTCTGGCAAAATAATAGTTTTCCCAGGAATTAATTCTTTCAACCCTCATACCTATTCAAATTTGTTCGGATTAACTTCGAAATCTATGATAAGTTATACTTAAAATTTCAAAGTTGCAAGTGGAGGTAAGCCCTTCAAGAATTTAATTGGACATTGACTTGTGATCTAGGATTGTAGGCCCCCATCTAAATCATTGTAGAACTGGTCTAAGTGCCCAGAGTTCAAAGGACTAGCCACTCATTACTCACGTGAGATCGTTGACGACTCGGACCAGCAGGGAAAAGGTCTCATTGGCGGCCTTCTGCTTGTTGTCCTGCACTTGACAGAAGAAGTATGTGTAGCGATGGGTCAGCTTCTCGATCACGTCGATCGGCTGGATGAAGGTGCGGAAGGTGGTAATGAAGGCCTCGCTGAATGCTGCACGAACGGAATGGACAGAGACAACAGAGGCGTTGGGTAAATGATTATGCGACGAACAATGGGATTTCGTATGTGCGGCTGTTAGGTGCTGCTTTTGCTTGTGCTTGAGCTTGTTTTTTTGCTTCTGGGATTTGGAATGCCTACCATTGTCGGCGACCTTCTGGACACGACTGGCGTGCACGATGAGGGCATCAATGTAGCCGCCCTTCACCTCCGGCCCGTCCTCCTCCTTCTTCTTGAGTATCAGGTACCGTGTGATGTTGACCTCTTCGAGCATGTTGATCAGCATCTCCTTTGGCTCCGGCTCCGCTTCTGCCTCCGCATCCGCTTCCTCCTCCTCCTCCTGGTGGTGGTGGTGGTGGTGGGCGGCATTCTCTGGTTTGGCAACTTCGTCAACGCTGACAGAGCTGACTCCTGAACCACGATTGGACTGGTGGTCCTCCGTCAGCGGTTCCGACTCCTCCAGCACCTGGGGTGTGCTTATCGGCTGGCCGGTATTATCCTCGCCCTCGCCAACGTCAACGCCAACGCCCACTTCGCTGGGCAACTGATGCGAGTGACAGTAGAAGGTGTGACCACCATCGTCGACAGCGTTCACATTCTCATTGCTGTCCAGCACCGGCGAACGGGACTGCGGCAGCGACTCCTCGATGGCCAGGCCATCGTTGAGCTCCTCGCAAACGGTGGCCATGCGGCTGTCCGGCCTGCCCGTCGACCCATTCTCGGCCAGCGTCGGCTTCGGACTCGGCGGCGGTGTGGTCACAATGATGGGCTGCAGCGAAGGCGACGGTCCCAGGCTGGTCGCCTTGCGTTGCCTGGAGTTCTTTGGCGGTAGGGCGGGCGGAATCTCTTGCTCCGGCGACTGCTTCTTGCTCGTCGACATGGTGCTGCACAGATTGAAATGAGGTTAGCAACCCATATATATTCAAAACCCGAACCCAAATACTCACTCCATGGTCTGACTGTGCGTGATGTTGCGTATGGTGTTGACGCCATGTATCGTCTGGCAGCGCTCAACTCGCGTGGACGCCGAGCAGATCTCCATGTAAGCCAGAACTGCAGTGGGGTGCAAGGGAAACGGGAATCGTTAGCAACTTTCGCTTAGATGGACTGAACGACGGTAACCGAACTAAGCGAACGGAATGGATCGAAACGATCGATCGATCGATCCTGGTAGACCCTCACCACTTGGGTGGGATATACAATGCGAATGCCCCGGATGAACTGGTCGTTTACGGGTCTACGCCAAGGGATCGCATCACAACAACAAGTAACAAGTAACAGGAACGGATAACAGCACAGAGAGCAGGAGCAGGAGCAGATTTGGACAGTTGGGGACGACACAGTGGGTTAAGGAAAGGAGCGAAAGGAAAGCCAGTGAACCGTAACTGCATCTAGGACTAGAGGGCTCTAAAACGGAAACTGCAAACGGCAGCAATTTTCAAAGCAAAGCGAGCTCGAAATGCTCTTTTTTTTTTGTGAGTATACATATATGATTTATAGAATGTAATTATCATGCTCACTAAATGGCTATCAAAATTGTAACGAGAATTGATGGAATTTTAATTAGAATTAGAATTTTAAAGAAATTATAATTATTTTTGTCATGGGAGCTTTTCTATGACTTTGGGTTTTGACTACAACAAGCTATAGCGATTATATATAAATTCAAGTCGAAAATAGAGTGGTTTTGGTTTAACACATACATAAAAGCATTGCGAGCTCTCTAAGGGCGGCGAAAATGTTTGTTTTGTGGGTGATTTCGTTTCGTATTTTTTTTTTTTTTTTTTTTTTTTTTTGCATTTAGCATTTTGTCATTTTGGCAGCAAAAGTTGGCTAAGTGTTTGTTTTTTTTGTTTCGTTTCGTGTTGGTCCTCTAGTAACACACACAGACTTACCCGAAAAGGCCACACTTTGAAACACTAGATGTTGGTTGGAACGATAATTTAGATGGGTTAGACTCTTGCGAACAACAATTTGGCAAACTTTCTTGTCGCCAGCATTTCTATGGGGTTTGCGATAATGCGGATGGTGGTATGTGCTATAAATAAAATGGTCTTAAAGAAACAAACAAATCTCACACTGCCGGGCTACCAATAACAAAAGGTGATGACTGATTGGGTCTGATTGAATCTGATTGGGCTGGCCAATCAGTCATTGACTGACTGTTTGGAGGTTTGATTGTTGTTCTGGTGTTTCGTCTGCTTTTGTTCTGGGTTTAAAGATCGATGGAGTCACCTATTCAATGGGTATGGTATGATGGATACCACTCATAAAAACAACATAAAAAAAGGACTTTGATGATGGAGGAAATCCCTTGAAATGCGCTCAACATATACCCAAATTGAAACTTACCGCTCAGTCTGGCCTGGGCGGTTCGAAAAAAAAAAAAAAAAAAAAAAAAAAAATTAACATATATACACAACAAAAAACACACATACACACAGTACGTACGGTACGAGATGCAGAACCAAAACAAAAAATGGAAGAAAAAATAAATCAAAAATCAAGAAGAAAAAAAAAAAAGAAAACAAAAATCGATGTAAATAACGTGTGCAACGTGGGCAAACCGACTTACTGTGCTTTTTCTTCATGGGCAACGGCGGTGGCTCCTGGTCGAAATGGCGCTGCAGATGGGGTCCTTCGATCAGGCTGTGATGCTTCGCCTGCCACTGCTGCAGCTGTCCGGCGGAGCACGAGTGCGGATGGTGATAGTGATGCGGATGCGAATGCGAATGGGGGTTGAGGTGATGATGCGGCGACAACTGGCGCAGCTCGGCCACCTCCGACTGGCTGCTCCGGTGGCTAGCCCAGCCGGAATGCGCCTCGTCGAGCTCATCGCCGGCGCCGGCGCCGGTGGACTCGTGACGCGTGAGGCTGCCCCGATGGATGCTCTTGGGCGGCAGGGCGGGCGCCAGCTCTGGCTCCAGTTCGCTGCTGATGCCACTGGCATAGCCGATGGTGGTGGTGGTGCTACTGCTCGTGGTGGTGGTGGTGCAGTTGCTGCTGCTGCTGCTGCTCGACACCTGCCGCTGGCTATGCGACACCGACTGGCTAATCTGCTGGTACTCGCTGCTGCTGCTCACCATCGACGCCGCCGTCGTCGCCATCGTCGCCGTCGTCGTCGACTCACTGATGCTGATCGCAATCTCCGAATTGCTGCTCGAGAATTTCGTAGAGGACTCTGTTTGCGTGGAGGTGCGAAACTCACGCATCGAAACGAAACCTGCCGGTCGAAAGGAGAGCGTTAAAAATAGTCCATAAATCAGTGTGAGTTGTGGATAACAGGTAACAGGTAAACAGCAAGCCAAAACCAAGCGAAAAGTAAATAATAAATAATATAGAGGAGAGAAGCAGTGGGAGGGGGGAAGGGAATCAAGCCAAACTATTTTTACACCAGCTGTTGATGTGTTTAAAAATATATGTACAGAAAGCCTAGTGTGAGAAAGGCTAAAGCCTCCAATGTATTTATTTTTATGCAATTTTAAAGTCTGCCAATTAAGCTTTACAACATTAACATATTTATGCAGGAAAGGAAATGTCACCAGGTTGGATAACGGATACAAAATATAAAGCAGGCTTGTAACTACGTTGATAGATTATTTGTTTTTGGGTACCCGATTCGTTTGAGTGGCGATTGCTGTTAGTTTCCCCGCCACCAGCCACTGATGCAGCAGTTACGCCATCGGCTGCTCCTCCAGTTCCACCAGCAGAAGAACCAGTACCAGCACTACCAGCACTACCAGCACCACCACCAACCGAAAGTGGTGTCTGCATTTTGTCCTCCATGGTTTCTGTACGGGATTCGTTGGTTGAGGGTGGTTGGATCACCACTTGAGTTGAGCAGTGTGAGGGGAACGGCGGTGCGTGGCCGCAATACTCACTGTAGCTAAGCAGCTTGTCCATGTCCTCGTCCATCATCGCCGGCATCTTTGGCATCATCTGTCTCAGCTGCTGCTGTTGCTGCTGCTGCTGTTGGTCCTCCTCCTCCCGCGAGTGATTTAAGGCCGAGTCGAAGGAACACTGACTGTTCTCATCCGGCGATCGCGAGCGCACTGACAGGCTTTATAATCAGGAAATCAAATCGTTAAACTGGAGCAACTTAAATGTGTGTGTGGGTGTAAGTTACCGATCCACGCCATAGTTCAGCAGCGAAATGTTGGAGCTGCAGTCCAAATCCCAGTTCTGGCTGATATTGTTCGACTGGGCATAGGGCAGCGGACTGGCCTGATTGGAGATGCATGTCGATGAGGACACTACCGCTCCCGTTCCCGTTCCCATTCCCGTTCCCGCTGCGGAAGCTGCTCCCGGTTGGCTGCGTCGCTTGGGCGGCAACGGTGGCGGATTACTGGACCGATTGGGCAGCGGTGGCTTCGGCGGTGGACTCGTGTCGCGCAGGATGCTTTCGGTGCTGTGGGAGCCACGCATGGGATTCACATTGTGCTGCTCCAGGATGTCGCGCTCCTTGGGCGTCAGCGCAATGTCCGGCAACGAGGTGCGTTGCGCAATGGCCGCCGATTCGGCGGCCGAAACGCGCATAATGCCGGCGCCAGGGACACCGGCTAAGGCGCCCGGCGAGGCGGTAACCACGCTCATTATATCCGCCGCCGCACCAATGCCGCCCAAACCAGATCCACTATAGCGAAAGGCGCTCTGATCCTGCTCCTTCAGCTTGCCCTGCGCCAGCGTGACGAGATTCTGAAGTAAAGTAGTACATATACGTTTAATGTTTATATATATGGTTTAGCTCAGAAAGAGAAATAGAGAGAGAGAGAGAGAGGGAGATGGCTTACCCGCACTGCAAGCTCCAGAAGATCGATGACTTCGCGGACATTATCGTTGCTCAACGAGGCGCACTCGCCGCTCTCCTCGGAGAGCATCACCTCGTCGCAGAGCTTGATGAGCTTGCCCAGACTCTGGTAGACCTGCTGCGTGGCGGAGCTCATGATGGCACTGTTTTCGTTCATCGTATAGGTTTGGATCACTGGCGAAATGGGATCAATTGGTGGTCAATAGTTGGTTGCTTAACTGGGGTAACTGGTCTAGTGGTCTACTCACCGGAGTACATGCTGGCTATGGTTTCCAGGATGACCGTGCCATTGCCGGGCAGCACCTCCAGCTTCTTCTTGAGTATGACATCGCGGAAGTGCTTGAGCGCATTCGAGATGTCCTTGACGTGCGTCTCCAGCGTTTGGGTGGACCGCTGCACCTCCTCGGTGGTCGGAGGTGCCTTGGAGCCGTGCTTGCTGCGCGGACTGTGCGGCGAATGGGAGCGACCCAGGGTGTTGTTGGTTGTCCGCATCAGGGAGATCTTCTCGATCAGATCGTCCTTGAAGGAGCGCGCCCGGCGCGCTAGCTTGGTGCCCTTTAGGCTGTTCTTGTGACCCGACGATCCGGCACTGGGTGGTGCCGGTGGCACTCCACTTCCGCCTCCGCCTCCCGCTCCTCCTGCAACCCGACTAGATCCTCCAGGCGTTGCCTGTTGCTGCTGTTGCTGATGCTGCTGTTGTTGCTGTTGCTGCTGCTGCTGTTGCTGCTGTTGCTGCTGTTGCTGTTGTTGCTGCTGCTGCTGCAACAAGTGATGGTGGTGGTGGTGCGCAGGTGGTGGCGGGGTGCAGGCGGCCGAGTAGCCGCCGCTGTTGATGCTGTTGTTGCTGCTGCTGCTGCAACCGCCACCGCCCACTCCGATGCCGGGCGTGGATGGAGAACTGATGCTGCCGTCTGCAAGGAGAGCAATGCGAAAAAATATGGGATACATCAGTCAGAGCAAATTATTGTCTTTATTTATATGTAGTCAGTCAGAGGAAATTATGTTCTTTATTTTAGGTGTAAGTTGTGGAGTTATCACAGCATAAACCTTCAAGGTAAATACATGTATTTTAGATTAAGATTTGCAAAGTTCTATAGCAAGCATAGTATATTTTTATCTTTTTTTTCATAAATATAGAGCTATCACAGTATAACCTTAAATCAACGTGCATTTATAGGTTATTAAGTAAAAGGTACATTTATTTTTAATAGCACGTTGTCCAAAAAATAAAGAAACAGGATTTTTTTTTTTTGGAAAAGTAAGAGAATTTGTTCCCTATCATAGGATATCATAATCTTTGGACAAATCACATTCACAGATTGAACACATATATGAATTGTTTGGAATCAAATTGCATACGTATCAAAAAGACATTATGCCACTTTACCATTTGTAATTAAGTTTTAGTTATAAAAAATTTGGCATTTTATTTTATGAATGTATATCATGCCTTATATATGATTTGCTTTGTGTGCAAAAATAAAATCTTTCCTGTTGAAGCGGCATTCTTGAATGGCAAATCTAAAAGCAAAAGTTGTCACATTTAGAAACAACAATCTTCTGCAATATAAGGCAATGTCGAGTAGGTTTCATACTTTTCTCCACTTGGTTATGAAAAGTGAACATTTTAAATTCATTGAATAAATTATACCAGAATAAAATCAAAGTCATTGTGTAAGAGTTGGAAATACTAATTTATCCGTTCAAAGAAGGCTTCAAATTCGCTTAAGTCAAAAATGTTAAAACAGAAAATTAGCATTCCAATTGTTACAAAATTTAAAGTTTTATATTTTGTGTTTGTTATTTTGTACAATTTGTTGAACAAACTTATCATAATAACAAAACTTTAATTAAAATGTTCCGTCTTGTAAATTTAAATACTAAAGAAGAAATGATTAGATTTCCGGTTTAAAATTGTGTAAATTGCCCTTGGCCATCCGAATATAAAAAAAAGTGACAGTTTTATAATCACAGCAAAAAGAAACCAATCAAAGTGAAAAACTTTACACAACAAAGTAATTTGCAAAGCTTTGAAATAAAAGAATTCCAAATTTTATATTTATTATTTATTATTTTTGAAAACAGTATTTAAGAGGGTAGGAAAACTTTCTTCCCACCTTCAAAAAAAGACGATTTTTAGCTTGGAGGCTTGCAAGCAGAGGCATAATAAAAAATAGTGAAATAATTACAGCTGAAATGCACATATGTTGTTATATGTTATAAAAATTCCTGGAATTTGCAGAGGCTCCACTTTTCGGAATTGTTCATGCGAGCCCAACCATTTGGAATTTTGGAACTTTTAGAGTGGCCCCAAGTGCTCAGCAGTAAGAGCTAAAAAGCGAAGAGCGAAGAGCATTCGAATAACACACACCACACACCACCCACCACCCACCACCCAGCAAGCGAAAATCGCTTCGAGTAGTGGCCGCTTTCACTTACGGCACACCGCATTCTTGAGCGGCACAGGTGTGGCGGGCAGTTCCATTGCCATCGCCATCGTCATCTCCATACCGATATCCCCATCCACATCCACATCCATCTGTAGTGGAATCACTGGCGTTGATAGCGCCAATCGCGTCAGCTTTTTGTATTTGCGACGTCTGTGGAATTTGATGCTATGCAACGTGTTGCCGCTGCTGCCCATGTTGCAGGTGTTGCTGATGCTGTTGCTGCAGCTGTTGCTGTTGCTGTTGTTGTTGCCGTCGCGCGGCGACCAAGATTGCCGCTGCGTCTTCCAATGATGATGACGAATGCCATCATCATCATCATTATAATTATCATTGCCGCCGCCGGTACTGGGATTCGGTGGCAATTGCTTGACCGTGTACGAATAGAAACGCCAGCGATCGGCCAGCGCACAGTCGCTCAAAAAAGATTCATCAAACTGCGGCATACTCTATTGCATAATGGCAGCAACAACTTGAGCTTCAGTTTTAGCTTCAACTTCAACTTCAACAGCGACAGCAACACGCATACGCATAACAATTTGTTGTGGTTAAAATGTTTGGCCAAAACGAATGTGCCGATAGCAAAACACACACACACACACACACACACACAGTATGTATGGCTGATTTCACCAAATACCGATAAGCGATAGCAGCAACATCAGTAGTTTGTATAATATTGTTGATTTAAGCGATTGCCGATTGCAACATCTTTATTTTATTGTGCAAGTAGCATGCTTTAAATTGATTATTTCACTTTCGATTTGCTTTTCGGCTATATTTTCAAGGAAGTCTCGAACACTGATCAACACACAGCATCTTTTCCATATCCAACACGATAAGCGGTGACAGCAGCAAGTAGATTGTAAATATTGATTTACTGATTTAAATATTTCACTTTATCATTTATTTTACATATATTTTGGTGCTTTTGGTGATAAAAAAAATCTGTTTCCAATACGAGATAAACGATTTAAGCGATTACCGATTACAACATTTTTTGGTCATGTCGATTTAAATTTTATTTACTACGAATCAATTCGTTTTGTTGGATTGCCAATTTATCTGATTAGCCATAAAATGTATATATCCTTGTATTTAACATTTACGAGTTTTTCAGTTTTAACTGCCGCAGTTGTGTGTGTGCAAACTAAACTTAATCCATTTCAAGAGTCAATTTCCTATTTTCTTGACAAATTCAAGTGCGATTTCCGCACTTTTCTTATCAATTGCAATTTCCATTCACCACCGGCACTTTGGCGTTGTAATATCAATAAGCTGATTGATAAGCCACGATAGGCAAACACTTTGTTGCACTTTCAGTGCACTTTCTTTCACTTTCAAGAGCAATTTGCCGCTATTTTCTTTGATTTTTCCTATCTATCCATCTACTTTGTCGCAGCGCCCCCGCACAGTCGCCAATCTTTCTGGTTGGCCTCTGGGTGAAATGTTGATTAAATAAATCACAAATAAAAATGATTATATTTAGATGCCGCCGCTGCTCTGTCGCTGGTGGGTGATGCTGATGTTGCTGCTGCTGTCGTCAGCTGTCGCTGTCGCCGTTGTCGTCGTCGTCCGTTCGCGTTCGCGTTGTCGTTGTCGACTGGAAAGCGCACTGAACTATGAAAATCCGCAAAACGGACAGAAGCAAAAGACCAGGCAAAAGCGAGTGTCCGAGTGTCTTGGAGACCCGCTAACCGGCCAACGGCAATGGCAACACATTAGCAATATAGCAATAGCAATAGCAATAGCAACAGCAATAGCAGCAACAGCAACAGCAACAACAGCAGCAACAGGCACGGCGGCAACATTAGCCGACACAGCAGCAAAATGAGAGCCGCCGAGGAAAAAGAGTCCCAGTCCCAAATGGCAATTGCCCACCTGGCTCATCTCTCCTGATCTCTCCCTGCTCTCACCTTCTCTCTCTCCTTCTCTCCCATATTCATCAAACAAATTTTGTATAGAAATACATTCCACTGATAGCCAAAATACAGTACAAAAATAAATAAATGATTTTAATATTTTTACCAATATTATTTTGATAATTTATAATTTAAGATTTGTAATAATAAAGATTGATTACAATTTTTTTTTCTTCTTTAATAAAAGAATTTAAAAATAATGAATTCATGTCATGTTATTACTAATATAGTAATTAATTTCAATTTGTAAGCACTGATTCGATTAATTTAAGATATATTCGAAACCTCAGAAATTTTGTGATTTGATAATTTAAAGTCACATTAATATTACAATTTACTGGAAGAATACAAAGCTATATTTTTTTTAACATCAACATCTAAAAAGGCGAAAAGAATTGATTTTTATTGATTTTCTTTATTAAAAAGTATGAGTCAAAATTGGTTGATTTTATGATTTTATGCCTTAGAATAAATAATACAACATTTTCTATTTATTTAACAGAAATATTAGTATATTATATCAGCATACAAATCTTAGTTCGTTGACAATTCTTAACCTTGTTTAAGTCAAAAACATTTTATAAAAAGTTAAAGAGACAAACACTGATCCCATACACCCAATTTTTCTCAGTGCATCCAGCGGTTTGCGGCTCTTTCGAGGAGGGAGGCTGCTCAACTACTCGACTGCTCTCCATCTCTAGAGCTCTCCGCCAATTATCAATCAGCTGGCACACCTGAAAGAGCTGAAAGAGGTGAAAGAGAGGTGAAAGAGGTAAAAGAGCCGCCGGGTGGGAGAGGGTGAGGGGGTGGCGAAGGGGCGGTAATTGGGGGGCGGCAAAGGGGGCCATGAGTCGACTCTGGGCGGATTTCTTCAATTTGCAAGTGCTGCTCGTGACTTGCCTTGGAAATGAACTAGCTGCTGCGCAAATGGGCGAAAATCGAAGGCGTCGCCAAAAGTAAATACAAAAGAAAAATATCGCAAGCAAAAGCATACAAAATACAAAACACAAAAAACATAAAACAAAAAAAAAAGACCCAAAAATTCCCAGCAGTACTTGAAAAGTATATGGAAAGCAAAAAAACCCCAAGTGGATCGAGTTTAGCGGCAAGAAAGGGCCATTATTATCGTCGGCCGGTAAGTTAAGGTTAAGGTTAATGTTAAGGTTAAAGGTGTAACCCAAAACCAAAACCAATTCCGGGAGATAAGGTTAATGTCAATCCTGAATTCTAAATCCTGGCCCACAACATGGCCTATGGCATATTAAAATAGAATAATGGGGGGGAAGTTCTGTTCGGTGGTGCGGATTTCAAGGTCAGCGGCATACCGCCCTTATCAAAAGCGTATTTCGCTGGTCGTTGATAGAGCTTTTATCGTGTTGCGACTTCCTGTCGATGAAATGTTAGCGATAGGCGTACAAACGACTTTGTTCCGGCTTCTTTTTTTCCCGACCGGAATTCTTATTGGGCTACCCACAAAACTCTTCACAATTATCAGTTATTGAAGTTCAATTAAACGAATGATTCGAATATTGTTTTAAAGATAATCAAAATGTTCGTGGTATGTTCGTAATCAAATGTTCGTAGCAAAAAATTGGCAATTTATAAAAATTAAAGCCGTGAAAATAATCAGGAAATAAGCTCCTGAAAAAAATTAGCCACATCATAAAAAAAAAGGATTTAAAAATGATATCTGGTTAATTTTAGATGTAATTTCATAAACGTTTCTAGGATATAATCTTTCAAAAATAAAATTTAAAAAAAAACAAATTTTCAAATCAAAAATAAAACACAAAAAATGTTAACTTGAATTTCTGCTAATCTAAGATATTAAAAAATAAGGGCAGAGAAACGAAAGTGTTGACATTGACCCACAAAGCCTTACAATTCATTACACTAAATTCTAAAAATATAAATATGAAAAATCAAAAAGTTATTCTCAAAAGTTGTAAAAATCAAGAAATGCAACAACATTAGAATTGCTACATTTTGGCCTAGTGCCCCACCCCGCTTTTCTCGGGCAATCCAATTACCACCCACTCCAGTGGAGGCAATAGAAGTCACGTTCACCCAATTAATTTGGCACACCGCAGAAATGGGAAATGCAAAGAGCAGTCAGACACAGACACAGACATAGACACAGACACAGACCCAAAAGCCAAACCCGATATCACCCGCCCCTCGGCGACTGCAATATCGAGTCGAGAGCCACTTTGCATGATTAGGAAATTGGATCAGGCAACGGACCCAGCGACTTGGAGCCACCGAGCGGGTTGGACGAGTCGAGTGGAGTCGATCAAAAGGTGATTTCAATTCTGGTTTTGGCCAAAAAAAAAAAAAAAAAGAAGACAAAAATGAAGGCACAAACCAAAAGAATTAACGCAGTAGATCTTGCCTAACACGAACCGCCAAATAGGTTAGCCACCAGTGTCCCAGATTTAGTTTAAATACTATTAAGATATGATTAATTTAAGGAAAACTTATACTGAAACAAACATAATAAATAAATAACGACTCTCCAGAAATATAATATAAAAAAATATTATACATTAAAAAAAAAGTAATAGACAGTAGTTTTTTTTTAAATTATACCAGAACCCAGAACCCAAAAAGTTAATAAATAATAGACAGTAGTTTCTTAAATTAATTAAAAAAATAAAAAAAACAAATATAAAAGTTGTACAGGAAACTAGATATATTAAAGCATTTAATAGTTCATGTTATATCGTAGGTAATACCACGTATCGACGTTCTGTTGTGGCCAAATCTGGGCTAGGCGGATTCAAAGCAACTGTCAAATCAAAGAAACAAATGGGTGGGGATTTGGGCCGAGGGGGAGGAGTTGACACCAAATTGGTAATTGGCACACCCGATGAAGACGACGATAATGAAGATCGTTCATAAAATCATCGAACGCATCATCATAATGCCGTTGGCTCGTGTATGCAAAGTCCTCGGGGCCTATAAACTTGACCAATATTCGCGAATGTCGCCCCTCTTTTACCTCCACGCATTTCCCGACCAGTTTCAATGTTGCTGTTATTGTTATTATGCAGAGAAAAGAAATACTTATACAGTAAATAAGTATTCTTACAACCGACAATCGAAACTTGAAGATTTTTAAATAGATGTCACCCATTAAATAAGCAGTATTTAGTTGAAGCATTGCTAAAGTTATTGATTGGAAAAGGGCAATATCTAAGAATTTTAGATATACCAAAGATCTCTTATTTCAGAAAATAGGAATATAAATGGATCTTGGTTTTTTTTTCTAGTGCATCTTTAACCAGTTTAGAGATTGAGAGATTGAGAGACCGAGAGTAAGCCTATTAGCAAGAGCAGCCACGAAATCGCGAAATGTAAAACGAAAATAAATCCAAAACCGCACAAAATGTGAAATGCCCACTGAATGAGCACACCAGAAACAACAAATAAACAAAACTAGAGTCGAGGAATTTCTGTTTGCCTTTTGGAATGCCATGCTTTCTAACTGCCGCGATCGCGATAGTTCCTGGACATATAAACACATAACATATGTGCACACGTATGATGTAGTACCGCACGCACATGGGTGCCCAATAAAAAAAAAAATACAAAATCTGCTCCACATTGAGCAAAAAGCCATCAAATTCAACTAAATGACATAATCTGTTGGAAAACAAAACAGAAACAGAAACAGAAACAGTAACAGACACAACACACATTTTACGAAGCGACAAGTTTTCATGTAAATTGGCCATTAGGAGCATAAAAACACAATCTCAAGTAGTAAAATAAACTAAACGATTGAAGCTGAAAATGTACAGAGCTACTTGCCTACTGTCAAAGTAGTTAGTTACATATTAATTAAGAGCAACAATTTAAACAGCCATTAAGGCAATGTTTCAATGAACCCCGGCATTTGTTTGACCTACACACTTTTGGTCACAATACCAGAGCTAGCTGAATGTAATTAATTAATAATTTCACAGAATTCAAGAATATATTTTTAAAAAGAACTCCCTTGTCCCTAAAAATCTTGTAAAAGGTTATGTTTTGACGGTTATAAGTTCAGTAGTTTTTGTTCCATCATTTATTTTCAATGTTTCTATGGTGCTATGAAGTTGACCGCTGCTGTAGATAACAGCAAATTCCAGTTTATGCCAACTGACTGTTAGCTTGCTAACTTTTTCGCTGTTAACACTGCTCAGCACATGCTAATTTATATACAGAGAAGCGATATGACCAATTTTGGTAATCAAATCGGTCGTATTTCACACCACGACTGCTCACATTTGTGACACACCGAAATTATGTTTGAAAAATATCAATATGATATCTTTAAGATCTGTTTTTAAGCTATGAATTTATATTTCGTATTATTTGATAAAATAAACGTGATTTTTATAATGAAAAAATTGCACTACAAATTCTTATAGATTTTTCCACAGTGTAGTTGAAAGTCAGGTGTGTATGTATGTAAAGGGCTCATGTGGAATCCAATTCATTTGACAGTCTCTGATTTATGCATGGGCATGGGTCATCGAGTGAAGTGATCACGACAGGTTTTCATGCCGGTTAAATGCATCGCATAATACCTATACACCTACACACGTGGGCAATATGTTATCCACAGGGAGGAATAATGTAGTTATCTTGATATATTTAGCTATTATTTACCAACTTAAATTTAAATATTTAGAGATTGCTATATATTTTGT